AATTACTTGTATGATGGTATCAATTGTATTTCTACCAGGATGAAAACCAAATTGACTAATTGATAATAATTTATCTTAAACTATGTACTTTATCAATTCAGTAAATTAAACTAAATATAAATTTAAATCATTATTGGCTTCCACGTAAAGATTTAAAGTAATTTAAATTCACAAGCGCTTTGTTCGCTCTATTCAAAAGATAGTTTTAATGTGACTTTACGACCCCTAATAAAAACTTAAGCAAAAACATTTTTTTTAAGAATGGCTAAAAAAAATGCTAAATTAGAAAAGAAAAAAGAAAACAAAAAAAAACAAATTACGAAAATATTTTTTTAATGAAAAAACTAATCTCAAAGGTGTGAAAAGCAATCGCAATTCACAATCACGATATGCTTAATTTGAGCCATTAAATTGAGTTTATATATATATATATATATATATATATAAATATATATGTATGTATGTATGTACACTACCGACAATTAATTTGAGACCAGTGATGAGAAAACAGTAATTCTATTAAAAATCAATTAAATCTATCAGTTATATTTTCATTTATGTTTTTTTCGATCTCAGTGAATAAAGAAACTACAAATTAGTTCATGAAATATACTTTATTTAGTTTTCTTCGCAAATATTTCTAAACAAATAGAAAAAGAAGCTCAATGGGATTGAGGTCTGGTGACTGCGCAGGACAGTTCATTAAAGTAAGGGTTTTTACCTGTACTAGTTGATTCAGGTAATTTGTACATAGTTTAGATTTGTGCTTTGGGTCATTATCTTGCATAAAAACAGGCTGGCGTCGAACCACCATTCAATGAGCAGATGGAATGGCATGATTCTCCAAAATTTCTCTGTATTGCTCCTTTTTCATAATTCCACAAACTCTGATCAAGTCTCCTATTTTGTGACCTGCAAAACAACCCCATACCATTATTGAACCTCCTCCAAGCTTAACAGTAGGCAAAGCTTAATTCTTGAACTCAGTAGTAAGCTTAATTCTCGAACTGGAGCCATTTTAGCACTACAAAATAGAAACTAAAAAAAAAATATAAACAGTTCAAACAATACAATATTTGTATATTCATTTGCAAATCATTATATACTATATTGGATCTACATAAAGTATCTACAAGAAGCTACCAATGAGAAAAATTATATTTTCAATATCAATTACAAGTCATTAATCAAAATTAAGTAACAGTTAAAAATAACACTTGTATTATCTTTTATGCTGGAAGAACTCAGCATACATTTTTATATACTTTTGTACATAAGCAAATTTTTGGGTGCAAAAATGCCCATATCCTATTCCACTTATATCCTATCCACTTATTTATTGTGCTCTATTTATTTTTGATCCAAAAATAAAGAATGAAAAATGAAAATTTCAAAAAAACACTGTGTGAATCTTTGAATTGATGCAGACCGTGAGAAAGAAGAATATGCATTTGCAAGAATACTAGATCCCATATTTAAAAAAAGATTTTTAGGTGCAAGATAAGGGCTCAGCAAGCTGTTGTTTTAATAATAGGTGAGTTAAATATTTTGGCCATTGAGAGGATCTTAAAATTACAATTGCTAAAAATCAAGATTGCGATGTACCAGCTCCAAATGCTGTCTGGTCATTTTATAACCAACTGATCAACACAAATTCTGTAGTATTGTAAGGGCTTCTGTATTTTTATTGTATTTTAAATATTATAGGCCTATGAACTAAATCTCATTTATTGTTCTAGACATCTCCACTCCTCATGGCACAAAACAACCTCTACTTGCAAGTCACAAAGACTTCCACCATTAGTTTAAATATCTCTAAAAACAACCTCTACTTGCAAGTCACAAAGACTTCCACCATTAGTTTAAATATCTCTAAAAACAACCTCTACTTGCAAGTCACAAAGACTTCCACCATTAGTTTAAATATCTCTAAAAACAACCTCTACTTGCAAGTCACAAAGACTTCCACCATTAGTTTAAATATCTCTAAAAACAACCTCTACTTGCAAGTCACAAAGACTTCCACCATTAGTTTAAATATCTCTAAAAACAACCTCTACTTACAAGTCACAAAGACTTCCACCATTAGTTGAAGCGAGCGTTGAACCACTACACCACTTCCACCATTAGTTTAAATATCTCTAAAAATGAGTAATAATCTAAACATAAAAATAAAAAATAATTTCAAATTTGTTTGAAATCCTCAAAATTTTTGAAACATGAAACTTGAAAAAAAAGGGTGACAAAAACTTGACTGCACTGAGAAATAAATTAAACAGGGTACTTCTAGTGGCAAGATGGGTGTAAACTCTGTATTTCTCTTTTTACAAGTATTTTCTTTGAAAATCACTTTAGAAGTTGTTAATAAACTTTGTTAAAATTTATTAACAAAACTTTCTAAGCAAACACTCAAAACACAAAAATATTTGCAGTGCAATTATTGTTGATATTTTTTGTCAAGCTTATTTTGCTGATTGTATATAATCAAATTATTATATGTTTAAATATATTATATAGAAATATAAAAATAATAAATTAAAATGATATTTTTAAGTGCGCTTTTAAGAAAAGAAAATATATTAAATATTGAATTATGTAATCTTTAAATATATATTTGAGTGACTATTGTGCAATTTATGTATATATGCAGTTATGACCAATAAGACCACCCAATATTTAGAACAAAAAACCGTTTTTGTACTGTTTAATGTACACATTTATTACTAAAAATGTTTAATTTAAAAAATAATTTATATGAACATAAAAAAGTATCGTAAAAATATTTGTTTTGACAGCGAATTGCATCATGGTGCATAAAAATTTCAAGATTTGTAATTTGAAAACAATTAAATGTACCATTTTATGTCACCTTATTGTAAAAGATGTAAACCACAACCATTGACATAAGCACAACCATTGACAGTGATTGCACAACAAAACACTAGACAGAAGGTGCAACATGATTGAAGTGTGAGTTTTGTGGCTGACAAACATTGTGTTGTGTTGCAAACTGTTTAACTTGTACTTCATCTAAGAATTTGCACTTCATCTGAGAACTTGCACTTCATCTGAGAACTTGACACGTCAACAGATTTTCGCAGTCCAACCCTTAAGCTTTTTGCAAAATTTTTATCTCAAATATTGTTTTGTGATAAAATTTAAAATTTGTATGTTCTTTACAGTCAAACAGTATATTGTGTTGTTGGTTTTTGAATTTCTTCTGGTCTTCCACAGGTTTTTTCTGGATAGATCTCATCTGTTAACTTAGTGCGCTGAATATCATGAACAGTTGTGTTAGACATCTTCAAATGTGAACCAATTATTCAGACTTGACATCATCCAATAAAAGTTGTACTTGTGTTCAATTAGCAAGTGATGCTTTAGAGGATATAAAATATTTTCCTATTGGCTGATAACTTTGCAATTACATATGTATGCAATCACACATTTTAGATTTTAATGTATTTATCTATATTAATTATGAGTGATCTTTTTGGCTATAATTGTATATATGTAAACTAATTATGTGCTAAACAATGATGCGTTGCTTAAGTGATTAAAAGGATAAGTAAATTTAAAAAAAGTAAATAAAAAAAGATGGACACTACACCAAGAAAAAATCTAAAGTATTACCTTTATTTTAGTATTCTGATAAATCTCAAACATAGCTACATTTTGTTCAGTAAACCAATCTACAGTTAGTCAGGTCAAGAAGCATTACTTTGCAACAGCTTATTACCATTAAGACAAGAAAAATATGGTCAAAAACAAGAGACAAGTTACAAACTAATGAATGATTAAGCTACACATGATATCCATGTTTGCTCGAGTACTATGCAGAGCAGGTTTATAGCTGTTAAAAGGTTTGCCAAAAAACTTTCTAAAAAACCATTACTTACAGATGCCATGAAAAAGAAGTGTTTCTTGTGGGCAAAGGAAGACAAAAAGTGGACTAAAAAACAATGGAGAAGAGTATGACAATGTGTAGTCGTTTAAGATACAGCTATTTTATTTATTGTATTTGTATAATCATGCTATTTTTAAAAACTGAAGATGTTAAATTGGATAGACTTGATAATTGTTAAATTGTTTATTTAATAACTTGATAATTGCTAACTTATCTAACTAAGGCTTGGTAATTGTTAACTTATTTATTTATTGATTGCAGGTTTTATTTTTGGATGAACCACATTTTGAAGTGCAAGGCCAGTGATCTTAGTTTGTTCATTGCTCTGATGGTGAGCCTATAAGGCCTAGTTATATTAAACAATATGTCAAGTACCCAGAAAAGATGTTTTCAGTTTGTTGGACCAGGAGCACTCTACCCTGTTACTGGCATGATGAACTCTGATACTTACATTGAGGTTCTGTAACACATTTAATTCCAAAGATCTAAAAAGTGTTTCCTAATGAAAATGGAATATTTTAGCAGGATTTTAGTCACATGCTATACATCCAAAAAAGTCAATAAATTAATGGTAGAAAATATACTTAAATGGCTTGGCAACTTTTCAGATCTCAATCCAATTGAGAATCAATTGACAATTGTAAAAAAAAAGAAAACATGACTGCTTAACTAAAACACTATCCTTCAGATTTGATTTGCCAGAAATCCAAAAAATTTGTAAAAATTTGATAGATTCTATGCCAAATCGTGTGCAGAAAGTCATTACAGCACTAAGAGGACCCACAAAATATCAGTGTATAAGTTTTTATGATATTGGAGAAAAAACCCTGGATTTTTTTATATCTTTTTTATTTTGATGCAATTAATTTGCAATTAATCCTGTGAATATATCAATTGCAATTAATCCTGTATATATATATATATATATATATATATATATATATATATATATATATATATATTATATATATAACAGAAGTCCAATTTTTTCAGAAGTCTTATAGTTTGTTTTTCTTTTTCTCTTGTGCTGACTTTGATTATTTTAATCTTAAAAAGCACTGCTAAAATTTAAATCAATTGTTTTTAATTTTAGGTTTATCGTCTTGTGGAGTTAGTTAGTGAAGAACGTCAGGCAACACGAGAAAATGTCGAGCGTAAACAAGCTCGAACATCTGATGAACTTGATGAAGAAGAAGAGGATCATACAAATGCTGAAGAATCCGGTGATGAGGAAGAGCAGGTGTTGTATAATCCAAAAAATCTACCTTTAGGTAATTCTATTTTTTATTTTTTTTTTTCAATATAAAATATGCAGATTTAATACTGTTTGATAAAATTTCAGATAAACAGTACATTTTTGTTAAATAAGTATTTTTATTAAAGAAAAAACTTTAAAAAAAATAATGAAATTTTATTTTTTGTTTTTCATTTCTTGAGTCTTATCTTTTTTTTTTCATTTTTTGTGTAAATATAGTTTTTTTAATTTTTTTATCAGGTTGGGATGGAAAACCCATTCCCTACTGGCTTTATAAATTACACGGACTTAATTTATATTATAAATGTGAAATATGTGGCAATCAACAATATCGTGGCCCTAAAGCTTTCCAACGTCATTTTTCTGAATGGCGCCATGCGCATGGAATGCGAGTTCTAAATATTCCAAACACGGCACACTTTGCTAACGTTACTAAAATTGAAGACGCGCTTTCACTCTGGGATAAACTAAAAGAAGTTAAAGCTAAAGAAAGATTTCAAGCTGACGTTGAAGAAGAATTTGAAGATTCAGTAGGAAATGTTGTAAATAAAAAAACATATGAGGATTTGTCGAGACAGGGACTTCTTTAGGTCTTATTACTGTCTAATACTGAAACGATAAATGACGCTGAAAAATGTAGCTATATTAGATTTGGCAAACAAAGATTTACAACGATCTAATAATTTTAATATAAAAAGTTATTTTGAAGCTTTGTTGAAAAATGAGAAGATTTTTTATGAGAAATTTTTTTGTAATTACTTTGTATCGCTGCTTTTACCGTTTCATATTACAAGACGAATATAGAAAGCAGTATTTAACTGAAGTATGGATACATATTAGATATATTTTCTTCTTGAGTATTTTATAAAAATAATAATAGTAATCTCATAAAAATTTGTTTAAGTGGAAACCCCTAAAAGCGTGTTTGTTAAAGTGGAAATCCCTAAAAGCGTGTTTGTTAAAGTAGAAACCCCCTAAGAATTTTTTTAAAAGTAATTACAAATTTAATATCATTTACATAAAGTACAGGTATAGTGCCCTTAAAAAGACTGCCCTTAAAAAGACAATAAATTTAATTGCCTATAACTATTCTTAAAAAGCATTTTAAAAAATTGTGCTTATTCAAAAATATAATCAGATTATATAAATTTCAAAAAAAAGTCAAGTTATTGTGCAGAAATTCAAATTTTTTTTCAAATTTTGCTCCAGAAGATTGTTTTTTAGAAAATTTGAGTACATAAAATCACTAATATTTAACATAAAATGAAAAATATTGAATTTAAGTCCGTTAACAAGAGTCTTAAAAAAAGCTATTAATAAGGTCCTTATAAAAGTAGTAATTGTTTTTCACTTGCTTGATAAGAACATAGAGTTTTGGTTGCTTAAAAAGCACTGCTAAAATGTTAATATTTTCGTCTTTTTAAGGGCACCATATATTATTAACTTTTTATCGAATTTTTTATACTTCTAAAGAAGAAAAACTTCAAAAAAACAAAAATAACTTTTTAATTTTTAATGAATAATAAAAAAGATTCTCAATAATGGAATCTATTGGATTCCAAATCTTCAATACTGTCTTCTTCGTCATTAGACTTTCTAAATAAACTCTTTGCAGCGGTTCTCTTTTTCGATAAACATTTAGGTAAAATCATAATTGGTTTTTTACCATCCACGATGCACTTATATATACTGCATACTAATTTCATAACAATTCGACACATGGGACATTGTTTTAGCTTTGCAGCTTCACAAATGCCATTGTCTGAAATGCATCTTTCCTTGAATCTATAGAACAACTCAGTTTCTTCACTCTTTTTTCTTTCTCTGTCTTCTTTGTCTTCTTCTTGCACTTTTTTTTCCTTTGAATTGTTAATAGATTCTACAAGTTTAAGCACATCTTGACCTTCCATGGAGCCATGGACTTGAGTTACTCTTGTAGTTTCTTTATGCATACTATTACTTTGAGTTGACTTTACTTTTTGGATTGTCAAAAGACCTGGTATATCATTAAGATTTATGCTTTTTTCATGTAAGTCAGTGATCATGGCCTGCAATGACAAACATTTGTCTTTCCAGTTTGAAGCTTTTTCTCACCAATACATTTGGCTATCTTTTCGTTTTATTGATATAGGAAAACTTAATTTGCTATTTAGAACTGTAGAAATATCAGTAACGTTAGGTGAAGCAGCTAATAAACATGTTGTCTGTTGTTGAGGTGTTTATCATAGAACTGTTTTTTTTTTAACTTCCTCTGCTAGCATAGAAGCTTGTTGAAATTTATCATTTTTGCATAAATGCAACATTTAAACTTTCATTAGTAATACTAACCTTCTTTCCAGCTTTTTTTATCGATTCTGGCGTCGCCCACTTGTCCCACATACTTGCAAGAGACAACATTAAGATTTCTCTATTAATTGTTTGATGTTGATTAAACAGATTTTCTTTTGCATTTGCATAGTGTTCATGATGTGCATTGTTAATTTGATCAAGTAGCTGTGTTATACTTTTACTAATAAGCGTTTATAGTAAATCGGGGTATTATATAGAATACAAAATATAATGAATATGTATTAATTAGTTAAAAGTAAAGTTTAAAGTTTAGAATGTGTTTTGGTATAGTTTACCTGATAACGACACCATTGGATTTATTGTAACACATTCACGATTTTGCCAAATCATTTTTTGACATCTTTCACTACGACGACCATATACTAAGCCACTTGCTGAACCATTAACACCAAAGTTAACAAATTGTGGAGTTTCATCGTGATTAAAGATCCAAGACAAGTCAATTTGCCCAGCCCAATATCTAGATGCTTCTTAATTTTCTTTAATAATGATGACACATTCCACCAACTCTTTAGCAAGATCATCTGAAAGTTAAAAACTGTAACAGATTTCAGAGTTTTAACTCTATATTAGCATTTCTTAGTTATTTGGATGAGTTTGTTAATTCTGGCTTTAAGTGCCAGATACATATGCTATAATCTTTATAACATATGCTATTTATTTTTGTGAATTTCAAAGTTGTTTTACCTAAATGAGAGCAAGCCATTTCACGAGTGCAATTCATTGCTCTATTCATTGTGATGATTGCTTGTCTTTTTAAAGAAACATTGGCATGTTTGGCGTCCCATCGTCTCCAAAACGACTTACTTAGGCTAGATAGAAAAAATATAAAAAAAGTCAATACAGTAGTAAAGAATTGTGTCAATACAAGAAGGATTTCTTACAAATTAGATAATTTTTACCTTTTTTTCAAAAGAGCTTTCCTGCCATTTACAATCAAAGCAAAGAACTTTCTTCCTCCTTTCATCTTTTTCAATAGGGTTGGATGTAAAGTCACCAAGTTTTACAAACTATTGTGATGTAGTTAACAAATATTTTGCTAATTCAACCCATCCTTTTAATGTATGGGTACGTACCAAATAACGTACCAAATAGAAAAAAAAGATTCGGTAAAAGAAAAAATAGTTTGAAAATGTAAAGAAAAAAAAAAAAAATACGAAATGAATTACGTTAGTCTACCAGAAACAATGTCATTAAAAGAAAAGAACAAGAAAAAAATTATAAGTTTTGTTTAGTGAATACATTGTTTATATTGATGTGTATTTTTATTGTTATATTTATGTCATTTATTTTTGTGTATGCATTTTTTACTTTTATTAACCTTAGTTTTTTATGTATAATAAGTGTTTTTCTGTTTATATTTTCTTTATTTGTTTATTATACTTACAATATATTTTTGCTATTATATTATAAAAACTAAAATTATTATATTTATCGAGTCTTGGTATTCTTTTATCGATAATCGTTTTTATGTCATCGTTATTAGTTACGTTTTGTCAGTTTATTACTGTTTGTAACTGTAACTATGTATATATAATTGATTGTTGTATGGAAGATTGTATTGATTGAATTCTTTTAGTTTTTATAATTTTTGTTGACGTATTTAATGAACAGCCTTCTATTAAATATTTATTTGACAATTCCGTTATATATGTGTTGTATTTATTACTATCATGTTTTTATTTTGTTCATTATTATTGGGTGTTAATTATACTTACTGGTAATATTATTATTGTTATTCTTATTATTATACAATTAGTTATTTTTATTATTGTTGTTTTGTAAATTTATTGCTATTTTTATTATAACTATAACTATGTGTCTTTCTACCCAGCCAACATGTCCATATGGGCCCCACGCGGTTTTTAACCTGGGCATATGGGCATGGGTTAAAAGACACGGGCTCCATATGGGTCCCATTTGGGCCAGCCCATTTAACTAATTTGACGGAATATTCCATTGTATAGATTACGGAATATTCCGGTCAAGTGTGTTTATCGAGAAAAAAGAAGCTCTTAATAATCTATAATGATATTATATATTTGTATAATAATGATTACTGCAACAATTTTGCAATTCTTGCGGCGAAAAAACCACGTGATCATTGCGTAATTAAAAACAAAAATATCTACCATTATGATATGGGGGCAAACAAACGCGCTGATTTCAGTACATCATTACTTAAACGCCTTGAAAATGTCTTATGATTATCAAGAAAAGTTATCTAAAAAAGCTGCTGAACGTTACCAGAACAATATTTAGCGCTATATTGAAATAAATCTGTGCAAATGCTTAAAGGAAACATGGAATTTAATTAATTCATCATTTTGAAATTATTGCACAGTTTACAGATGTAGTCAATAAATAAAACAAAAATATTACATATTGATATTCTAATAACATTTAAAAATTCTATATTTTGCTTAAAATTTTCCTCAGTGTAATATTTATTCTTCATGTTTTTAATATATGTGAAATAAATGTTATAAATAAAAAATATTTTTTACAGTATAATAATGAAATGATCAAAATTACTAATTACAACAATTTAAATTATAACATCGTAACAATATTTATAAAGCTTTTTAGTAAATGGTATGAGGATTAACAATATTATGTCTTGGCTTTTAAAAAATAACATAAATGACTTTTTATCTTCATTCACAAAGGTACCTTACTTTGTAAGATTGTTTTTGTGACCTAGGAACAATCCTAAAGATTAAAAATGACAACATTAAAAGTATGTTTTACTTTAAAACATGTTTCTTGCCTATTAGTAAATGATTAGAAGTAACGAGTTCAAGTAAAAATAATCATTTCTAATAATCTAATAATCATTTGTAGCAAGAGACACCAACGAGAAAGTAAGCAAAGTTGTCTATCAACACAAAGCCTCACAACAATAACATCACTATAATAACACAATAAAACAAAATAAAATTATACACATAATGACTTACAAGTGAATCAATACCGCGCTAGAGGTTGAAACAGAACACAAACACACATATGTCTAAAGGGTGAGCCAACACGACACCAGAGGTCGACACAGAACATAAACACATATATATTGACTTATGAGTGAGCCAACATAAACATAATCACTTACCTAGCCAATGCTGCATTATTTTTAAACTACCATCATTCTCAGCTAAGTTAACTTGTTTCATGTTGGTTCAAGACACTAACATCTTCCACTCCAGTCAATGAATTGTCAGTACTTATTTGTTAACTGACTTTAATAACTTGAGATTTATTGCAATGACTTTTTTGTACATAATATTCTAAAAAAGTATAAGCATGTTTGAGGTATATAGTAAATACAAAATTTGTGCTTAACAAGCTATTGAACATTAATTTATTTAAAAATAAAAACAATAAACACATGATTTATAAATGCTTAGTTTGAATGCATTAATATTTATATATACAATTTATTTTTGTTATGCATCAATGCATAACAAAAATAAATTGTAACTATTATATAAACAGTTTTTACAAAAACATTTTAAACAACAAGATAAACTATATTATATAGTTTATCTTGTTGTTTATACAGTACATATAATACTATATAGTATATACTAATTGAATTGTTTAATCTATTTATTCTCCTTTCATTTCACATAACAATTGGTTATGTTGGAGGGATGATTTCACTATATATATTTTTTAGCACCTAACATATTTACTGATGGAACATAGTCAACATGCTTTTCAAAATTTTGAAAAGCATCTGGACTATGTTCTTTTTTTTCCTAAAAGAGAAACATACTTACAATGAATAAAAAACTTAATAAGTTCAAGAAAAATTAGTGCTCAAATATTTTGACGATTCAAATACAAAACCAGATACAAAATGTTTTGAGCATACTTAGACAAGTTTTGCGACCTAAGTTTGTTTTAGCAAGATGAATCAGTTCTATATAAAGCATAAAGCCACGATTTTCTTCTCTTTGGATCAGGAAACAAAATATAAAAAATCAAGTACGGATGACTATTAACATTAAGTGAACAATCAAAAACACATTTCTCCATTTTCAAGCGCTTTGTTTGCCCCCATACCATAATGGTAGCCGTTTAGTTAGTTAAAGTGACGTCACGTTCGCCGCAAGAATAGCTAAATATTTACTGCGTTAAAAAATTTTACTTGGTTATTAAACATATTTTTGTAATTTTATAATAACTTTTAGTTTCTTATATTAATCTCTAATTTCTATTTTAAAATTAATTTTTTTTTTTTTTTTTAATGAAATATGTTTAAATTTGTTTAAGTTAAATAAGTAAACTTTTATGTTTAGTATTTAAAACTGTATTAAAAAAATCTATTAGGTGACTTTATTATGGAATACTCCTCAAGAACAAAGCGTCGAAAAGCGAAAAATGCTGTTGATTCAATATTTTCAAAGATAGTAACAGAAAAGTTTCAAAATGAAGTATATGTTAACAAAGCATTACCACTACCAACTTCTGAATTATCTTTGCCTAATGAATTATCTAATGCTTTACTTAATGCTTCAGAAATAAGTGATATAAATGAAGCAAATGTCATTGATAACACTTCTGATAATGAGTTTAAATTTTCATCAGATGAGGAATCTGAAAATGCCTCTTACACAGAAGAAAATTCTTTTAGTGAATTAAGTGATAGCGAATTTGATATCAAAGACAGATTATGTAATTGGTGTTCTTCCTACAATATTTCTCATGCAGCAATGTCAGATCTTTTGGAGATACTCAGATTTGCAGGTTTGCAATTACCAAAAGATCCAAGATCACTACTTAGCACGCCAAATTCTATTCAGCTGCAAAAAATTTCAGGGGGAAACTACTATCATTGTGGTATCGAAAATGGTATATTAATATTGTTACAACAGTATTGTGAATTGATTATCGATGATAAAATTTTTATTAACATTAATATTGATGGACTACCGCTTTTTAAGAGCTCAAAAATGCAACTTTGGCCTATATTAGGAAACATTTCACAGCTACCTCTAAGTGCTATATTTGTTATAGGACTGTATTCGGGAACATCAAAGCCGTTATCAGTTACCGAGTATTTAAGAAACTTTATTGATGAGATGAAAAGTTTAATGTGTAGGGGATTAAACTATTTAGGAAAACATTATTCAGTTTATTTAAATGCTATTATATGTGATGCTCCTGCAAGAGCATATTTAAAGTGTATAAAAAGCCATGGTGGCTATTATGCTTGTGAAAGATGCTGCCAGGAAGGTGTATATATTGGACATAAAGTAACATACCCTGAAGTCAATGCAAAACTCAGAACTGATAGTGATTTTTGTTTGCAGATAGATGAAGATCATCATTTACCTAATGTTGTTTCACCATTAATTGAGTTAGGTTTGGGATTAGTTACTCAGGTACCATTAGACTATATGCATTTAGTTCTTTTAGGTGTACAGAAAAGAATGATAAGTTTGTGGATGAAAGGAAACTTAAAGTATCGATTTCCATCAATTGTTGTAAATAATATATCAGCAAACTTACTAGATTTACAAAACAGCATGCCAAAAGAATTCTGTCGCAAACCAAGATCTTTAAGTGATTACAAACAATGGAAAGCAACTGAGTTTCGTCAGTTTTTACTTTATACTGGGTCATTGACAATGTTTGGTATTGTGCCAAAAGTAATTTATGAAAATTTTGTATCACTTTCTATTGCAATGACATATTTGTTAAGTCCAGATTTAGTCAGATATGTAGAATACTTAAATTATGTTGAAAAGTTGTTGCGCAATTTTGTTACTAATTTTAAAGAACTTTATGGAGAAGCACAACTAGTTTATAATGTGCATTCATTGTTACATATAGTTCAAGATGCTAAAAGATTTGGATCATTAAATAGTATTTCGGCTTTTCCTTTTGAAAACCAGTTAAGAATGCTTAAAAAAATGGTACGTCGTCCACAAAACCCAATTGCACAGATTGTATGTCGAATGGCTGAGAAGTCAAACACTATTAACTATAAAAACAAAACATTTGAAGGAACATCAAATATAAAAGCCATATTCAAAAAAAAACATACATCAGGGCCTGTGCCACAAAGTTTGAATCAATATTACTATCAGCAATACAGACAGTACAAAAAAGATAATAAATTTGCATCAACTGCACAAGGGGACAATTGTTTTGAAATTTTTGGAAAGCCATCAGTACTATTAAATATTCTTCTTAATGAAGATAATGAAGCAATTGTTGTGTATGACACATTTAAAGAGTTGGAGTCGTTTTTTGAATACCCTATAAAATCCACTCAGTTAGAAATATACCTGGCTAAAAATTTGACAGGAAATTTAAAAAGTATTAGCATTTTAGAGCTTGGTCGCAAATTTGTTATAATGCCTCTAAAAAGAGACTTTGTATTAATGCCACTTCTTCACCAATAAAGAGCTTTTTATTATTTTTTTTGTTTTTGGTTTATGCTTGTTTGAAAAATATTAGTATTTTATTATAATTTCATGTTAAGTAGAGTCATTGCATGTTAAGTAGAATAATTTTTTTTTTTTACGTATCAATCTAAGAGTGTTTTGTAATTAATGGCTAAATAAAAATAGTGGCCACTTTTTTAAATCACGTTAGATATTAATTAGAAATTTTCAGGACTTATGTGCCAAGTCAATAAGTTTCAGTGAGGGAAAACAGGTTGGGATGGAATGACTCTATATATGTTAAATAATAGTTAATAGTTGTTAAAGTTACAATAACAAAAGTTAATAAAATTGTTAAATAAAAATCTTAGCAATACAATAAAACAAGATGTAAAATAAATTTTTTATACATGGTTACTTTACACTATTTTCTGTACATTGTGATTCCATTACATATATAATAATAGTGTTTATTTTTTTAAATAATTGTTATTGCATTAGCCGTATTATTTTTATTATGGTTATTGCAATTTTTGACCAAGTGCTGTAAATCCTATATTAGGCCTCAGCAAGAATAAATGAGTACAAAAGCGGAGAAAAGCTCTCCTGAAATGAACTTGGGGAGCTGTGCAAGCTGCTCCTTATTTAAATCAGCACTTTTTTTTAATTCTAATTTTTTTTTTGCAACATTATTGTCTTTTAAAAAGCATTTCAGTATATTATGCAATTAATTTTTTTAAAATGACTATTTTAAAAAAATTAATTGCATAATATAAGTTGTAATGGCACCACCCACCTACGTGATACCTACAGTGCCGGCCCTGTGTACTAGTATAGATTAGTGTAACAACATGATTTTTTCTGTATTTCTTTATATTATCTGTATTTTAGTGTTTAAAAAAAGCTGCTGCTGCAAAATGTACCTGCAAACAATGTGGTAATATATAAAAATTTAATTGCAATATGAAATAGTTCTACTGGTAAGCCAACAAGCTAAGTCTAATCTTGCATTGAAAAAAATTATTGTTTGGACTTTAGGATAGCAGGTAATAGTAATATTTAGGATAGCAAATAATAGTAATATTAGCAGGTAA